GCTGTCAAAAGGCCTTGTTGCTTGCCACTGCTCAATCGATCTGCATTGCTTGCGGCCCGCCTCAGGCTGCAACAGCATGAGCCGCAGGCGCAACTTTGGAGAGTGCCGCAGCCTCAGGATGGCAAAAACACCTCGACTGTGGACCTCACTGTACATCATTGGGGATGATTTCAGATCTTTGACAAGTGGTGTGCTGAAAAGTCAAGGGATTCTTCCTAACATCACCAGGGAGTGTGCCGCCAACCCTCGTGCCTTCCTCGCTTTGCCTTGGAGAATCAAACCTCACCCACCAGCGTCTGGCAGACCCCCCACAGCTCTTCCTGCCATGTTACATCGACAGCGACATCATCAGGTTGGCAGAGTCTTCCTCAACTTCGTCCTCCAACAAAAGCTTCGCATTACCCTTGCGACTGCATAAGATGCACTGAAGATTCATGTGCTTTCCAGTAGTCAAACACAAAATAACACCGAGACGTAGGTGGAGACGTATCTCTTCTCTACAAGTGACTTCCGCGTTCCGGGTTGCTGTCGCAGATCGGGTCGCTGGGATCGGCCCCAGCCGTGTCGAGCCCGGCGCGGTGATCGCTCGCGGAGGTGGGCGTCGGAGCAGACGTGTGGGTTGGCGGAAGAAGCCCAGCATTTTGGACCCAATCGCTCCTCCGCAGTGTAGTCTGGAATGACAAAACAAAGCCGTGAGGTTTGCACTTGCCTTAGTAACAGGAGTCTGGCAAACTGGTAGTGTCACTGCCAAAGTAGGTCAGATTGATTCAGAACCTTCTTGGCAGGCGGAGGAAATGTTTTTCTGGACTATAAGGATCACGGAATTCACAGATACCAGGTACAGTACTAGGTATCTCATCTCCACTGCTTGCCTGCTTCTGCCGCGTTGCGCACGTTCCAAGTCACGTGCATTCAACACAGACCCGCGCAAGAAGAAGACCCTCGAGGATTGTCCTGCACGGAAGCTCAGGGAAGGGAAACTAGATATTTGGATTGCTGTTAGAGTTTCTGCAATTGGTCTGCAATCCACCAATTGGATTATATATATATATATAACGGCAAAATGGATTGATGTTGTCACTTTGTCTGCCACACGTCTTTTTCCTCTTTCTCAAAGAGACTTCCCAGATCTCCTGGCCCCAATTCAGTTTCCACAAAGGCTTTCAAGTCAAAGTCGTATTCCTTGTCACTCAAGAAGACCTGGGTCAATCATGAAGGAAGTGACTTTGGCATAGAGCAGTCATGCAACCCATTGATGCGGAATCCGGTCAGAGGATGTCCAGAGGTTGGTGGGATGCACTTGCTTTAAACATGGAACAGCTGCCACAAAGAAACAACATAATGTAGACTCTTGATCAATAGACCCACCCCAATTGGATTGAAAAATATTGAAAACCTCTTCCTATGAGGAGGTTATTAACCAAGAGTCTACATTATGTCGTACCGAATGGAACCTTGTATATACATAGTTTGAAGATGCTTGAAGCAAACAAACCGAATGAGCTCAATCCCCGTCTTTGATACAGCAGAATCTGCATGCAAAAAAAACTTAGCAGCTATCTCCTTGTCCCATCAACTCGTTTGTGCACAATCAAGGCCAGCAATGAAAGGTCTTCTACCTCTAGCCTCCTCAGGAGGAAGCCCTGAATTGTAGTCTCGATGTTACAGCAACTGCAAACTCACCACAAAACCTCAACCCACATATGGAATTAACTGGTCTGGACAAACGTACCATCGGCGTCGATGGAAAAAACAAAAGCAGCCTTTGTCTGATGGATCCAAAAAGCTAGATCTGGGCCATCGGAGTTCCAGTCATCCATCAAAGTTTCCAGCAGCAAAGTCTCCATCAAAGGCGATGACATGTTGCATCCATTGCCAGTGATCAGGATGTGACTCCGCATCACGCGTCGCCCTGCAATCAGGGCAGAGATTGGGTCTCAAAGCAAGGGGCCTTGACTATGAACAAGGCACACATATTTCCAAAATACCAGTACCAAGGGAAAAATACATGGATAAACAAATCTCATGGTCGATTGGTAGAGATCTCAAGCCACACACTGCGGTTGCCGCCCTGCCGCCTGAAAAGAAACCGAAGAGCCAATTCCTCAATTTCGGTGCAACTTTTGAGCGTGGGTCACACAGCTTGGCAGGAGATTCGTGGCACCATGAGCCTGGTTGATCGCAAAAAAGACAGAACAATGGGATGCTTTCAACAATTAATATTTTTGCCCCAAAGAAATGTCTGCAGGGAATGAAAACATGAGTTGCAGAGAATTAAATCCAGACTTATATAGTTCCGTTGCTCTGGCTTTAACTCCTTTTCGCTGAACATCTTGGGCGCATGCAACTTCGGCCCGGAGAACGTGAAAACATGACCATTTGCCCACTGCTATGAAGGAAGGGACCCAAAATCAATACCTCTCGTGTTCATCCGAGCATATCCCCGGATGACAAGTCATTTTGCCATCTCAATCTGTTTCGCCTGTCCAAGGAAGAAACCCAAATCATCTTGAGGATGGGTGGGAGATGGTAGAAAGAAATCCTCAAATTTGTCCACCCAAGTCTCCATCCTCCATTTGTTCCCTCAAACTATGTCAAACATTATCCCGGCAAGAGACCCCAAACAGTGCATTTAAGGTCTAGAGGTTCCAAAGAAAGGTGATGGTGGTGATGAAGGTGGAGATGGTGGTGATGGGCGGTGGTGGTGTTGGTGGTGATGGTAATTGGTGATTGGTGATTGGTGATTGGTGAGTGGTGGTGGTGGTGGTGGTGCTGGTGGTGGTGGTGATGATGGGGGTGGCGAAGAGATGGTGGTGATGGTGGTGGTGATGGGGGTTCGCAAGGCAGGTGGGATTGGAACTGAAGGTCTAGGTCCAGAGGAGGAGGAGGGGGATGCCTGAGTACACAAAAGTCTGCACTTCAAGGTCCCACAAAGTACCTGCCACGAAATCTGCATGTCAGGTCCACAGAGCACTGCGCCTATCACGAGATCTGCACCTCAAGGTCCACAAAGTGCTGCGCACTTCAAAGTTGACAAAGTGGTGCACTGCCACAAAGTCTGCACTTCAAGGTCCACAAAGTGCTGCGCCTGCCACGAAATCTGCACATCAAGATACACACCACGCAGTCCTGCCAAGGCGATTCGCAGCAAGAGCACTTCCAAAGACAAGATCAACATCCCAAAAAGCAGCTTTCGCTCGAGGCTTCCTCCGATTTCTGAAGTCGAGCCACATGTCCAAGTCACGGCTCACTGCACCTGCCACAAAATCAGAGCGCGCCGAAGACCAGCACCATGTCCAAAGTACTGCACCTGCCACAATAAATCTGTACATCGACATAAAGCCACTCCAGTCTCCTGCACCTGTCACGAAAAGTAGCCATCAAAACACGAAGTTTCCCTTCCGCCTGCCACGAAAAGTGATCACCAAGTCCGAAAATGCGCACGGCATCACAACGAGAGCGCAGTCCCGAACAGCACCCGCGCCAGCCTGCGCAGTCGAAATGCAGTTCGAAAATTCCGAGGTGCATGAATGTACTGTAAATAGCAGCGAATTAACCGAAAACGGATGCAAGCACCTCCGATCAGACACTCGTCCTTGACTACTACTGTAAGAACCCCTAGTGTGGACACACTGTTTCGGGAAAAAAGTGTTTAAAAACATATTATAATAGACAATAGAGCTGTCCATCCAAGCCTCCATCTGTTCACATAACATCCTCGGCCCTCCTCGGTGTCGTTGAAGAGGTCGACAATCTCTGCGGTCTCTGAACCGAAAAATATGACACCCCCGAAGATGAAGAAGATGATTGTGATCCTGCCATACATCAAAATACAATGCTAAGCTACAATGCTGCTGCCAGTACTTACAACTCTCCAACTGGGGCATCACGTCTTGGATGGCAACAAGACGTGTCTGAATTAGTAGGTTCCTATCTTAGCTGTGGCTTGTAGCCCGTTTTCCTCGGGACTTTGGTCGGCTAAAAGTCCCGAGCAAAAATAGCTAGGGTTTAGCTTGGGTGTGACCCAGCCAAGTACCAGTGGGAGACTGATAAAGGCCAAGTTGGGCCGAACCAAAAGTTGATAAAGGCCAAGTTGGCCCGAACCAAAAATCAAAAAAGAAGAGCATGGCCATGTTCATACAGCACTTTACGAGCAGCATACCTGTGTTAATAGGGCCACTATTCAAGGCAAAACAGAACTTCTCGAACGAGAAAGGCGACCTGAATGTGATTTCCAAGCGTGTGTGTGACCTCCTGAAAAGAACATTGCGTTCACGCAAGACTGCAGCGCAATCTTTTTCGACTTCTAGTGAGACTTCGTAGAGTATGCCACCCACGCCATACCATGCGCAATAGGACCTGAGGCGGTGTTGGACAAAAAATTACCATGAAATTGCGAAAACTTGTTGGAAATAAAGAGTGTCACAGGCAATGTTGTTTTCGATCTCTTTTGCCAAGTGCTTGTTTCGTCTAAGAGCAGCTATGTCAGTAGTGGCAACTCGACCTAGGTAATTGCACAAATTAGGCTCTCGTCTACCATCTGTTCTGGTAGGGATGCGCTATCAAATCAAGCCAAAGCAGATTTGTAGGAGCCATAAAAAGGCGGAAACGTGAGACCAAAAAAGGGCCTGCTTTTGCGGGTCCAGTCCAAAGCCTCCCCATGCCGACCCGCAATGCTCCCCATGTGCGGGCGGCGTGTTGGAACATGGAGCCGTAGATTGACGGGAAGCAGTCAGTGTAGTAGTTGGGTAACTAAACAAAAAACCATCTAACATTGGTTGTTTGAGTGTGAACATACAGAGGTATCGCTCCATTCAAATGCTCAAGCCTGATGCTGCATTCGTGCAGGCAATGGCCCAAAGACAAAGAGAGTTCTGACATCTGAACAGTCACTAACCGCGAGTAACAAAAAAAACATGTTTGCATAATCTTTTTTGGCAATGTTTATGTTTCAAACAAACGGCCTTTGCACACACAATCGACATCGACACCTACTTTCCTCACTTCAAAAGATGTTTTCCTAGTTTGCGCATCTCAGCTGTTGTCAGCGCCTTGTCGTCTTTCTTGTTCTTGTTCACTTTCTTTGGCTCCAAAGCACCATCATCGTGCAAAGCAACAAGGACAGCTCGAACTCCCACTGCAGATTCCTGGCCTGAAGGCTTCGGAGTTGATGCACTTGAAGGAGTTGGGGCAAGGGCGCCGGCCAACTTTGCTTCGGCCTCTTGCAAGGCGCTTTGCATTGCCTTGGCACGCGCAGACTTTTCCACCGTCTCTTTCGCAGCCAGAACGGTCAAAGGAATTGATGTCCGGGGTTTGCACGAGGCAAGTGCTTTCGCAATTGCCTCTTGGACATGTGCCTCCTCCTCTTCCGCATGCTTCAGCTTTTCTAGGTCAGCCTTGTTGTTTGAGACCTCCATCTGCAAACGTTCGATGTCATTGTCCACCTGTGCTTGTTGCTTCTTACGTTTCTTGGACTCTTTGGCTTCTCGGTTTTGGTTCCGTCGAAGTGCCGACTGAACCAAATTCTTTGCCGTCTTCTCTGCCTTCTCCTTGTCCTTTGCAAGATCGTCTTCGATCTTCTGCTGGAGATTATGAAGCGGCTTAGCAACCTGCAATTGTGCTTGCCCACGACCTGACTGCAATTGTGAAAACTGTGAAAACGGTTTACTGTCTACTGTAACATACCCAGAACAAAAACAAATCAAAAATGTTTGGCCAATAAAGCTTGAGCCACACACATGACCCCCAGCATTCTCACATTCAGCGATCAACTCCTTCACGGAATCAGAATTATCTGGCGTGATCAAGTGCAACGACATGTCATGTGGCCTTGCGTTCAAAGGGAGTAGAGCAACGAAGTCATTCCTGACCACATCTTGCTCCAAAAATGCATCAGCCGGCTTGGACACAGCTTTCACAGCCCAGGCAGGTACGACTACGTCAGAGGTGTTCAAGTCGATACCCTTTGGCTGCACGTAGAAGTGCATACCCAAAAAGGTGCAGAACAGATGGGCCTGACTCTTGCTGGCGCTGCTGCTGGGTGGAGAACAGGAAATGGAACCCGCAAATGGCAAGCAAAGGCTTCCATGCACAGGGAGTTTGACAATGAATTGGTCTTTCTTGCCCTGTGCCAAATTGACCGTGATATTGGCCTCTCCTGCTTGGTGAGCATGGAACATTTGCCACTGCAGAATTTCAATCTTCCTCTCCAAGATCTTGACAAACACGGGCCCCATGACATCTCCAGCACTCCGACCACTCTCACAAATCCCCAGATTCTGCGAATCTTTCGAGAACTCAAGCATCTTGAAGCGTTCAAGCACACTGGCACTCCTGAATTCGTTGACAGCCTTCAAGTCCATTTCCGTGGTCGCCTTGCTGTTCCCAGAAGCATCATCAGAGTTGTCATCCTTCGTCTCAGACTCTGCTTCAGCAGGCTTTCCTGCGATTGACATTGGGCACGATTGGACAAACATCATGGACTCACCTCACCTCACCTCACCTCAAGAAACTATGAAGACGGTCTATTTAAAAACTGCTTTTGTTTACCGTCGCGCACCCTTATCATCGTCCTTCTTTCGCTGCTTTTGCTGAGGGGAGGCTGCCGCCAACTGCTTGGAATGCTCTCTCGGTTAGTCTGCTCTGAATCTTGCTCTCTTGAGCTTTGGTCGCAGAATCAGCAGACTGAGACACACCAGCACCAGCATCACTTTTGTCATTGGACATTGCACGGATGAGTTGAGCTGCATGAGCCACACTACGAACTTTCAAGAGAAGCTGCGACCATTCTCTCGCCCAGGACCTAGCAAACTGGATTAAGTCAAAGATCACGAGGGATTCAAACTCGGATTGTGACTCGTTGGAATCAAGCCCGACAAGACTCAGGATAATTTGTTGCCTTTCCGCCGGTACGTCGGCAACAGCCCGCTTCGGCAGGGTCTCCTTCAGGATAGCCAGCATGTATCTTAGGCGCAAGCTCACAAATGACCGCAGGTTGTCCACAGTGCCAAAGACCTGCAAGAAGTGCCCAAGACTGTCACTCTGAGCACAGCTTTGCCCAACCACAACCCAAACGTCAATTGAACAATGACTCTGACTACTCCATACAATGATACAACAATTCTGTCCATCCGTCAGTCCATCTATGCAGCAACTCTCGCTCATGCAATTCCAAATAACACAAGAACAAACAAAGCTAAAATCAAAGAATAACTATATAACCTCAAGTACAGGCCTTGCCTTGTCAGTGTCTTCCACAAAGTGACCCCTGTCAGCATAGGCTGTGGCCACGTCAAACCCAAGCCCGCACCATGATGGTGAGATGTGCTCATTGATGGAGGTGCAAATGACCGAAAGAATGTCAACCAACTTTAGGCTGCTTGAGGATGATAGAGAGAAGATCTGCTGCATAGCATCTTGTGCGCTCGAATGCATGATGATCGGAAGATGTAAGGTGGAACCAATGAACTCCTTGATTTTTTTGATCTGATCCTTGTTCTGCATGGCTTCAGCAATGTTTTTTACTGTTTGCTCCTCAGGCTCATCTGAAACATCCCAGATCACGGCAGTGACAGGCTTGTCCAGGAAGGACTTGCAAAGGATTGCCGCTAATTCCAAGGGGTTGACCACCTTTGACTCCGTTGTTGAACCAGAGGGGCCGCTCCCATCTTCAAAGGGTGAACTGAGTTGCTCATTCGCCGTGGCCAAAGTTTGCTGGAGCTCAGGCCTCAAACTGCTGTATTGGCGAAACTCCTTGCCATTGACGCAAACTTTGCCAGTCCATGCAAACTCGAAGAATAGCGAAGCGCAGAACCCGTACGTAGTCATGACCCTCTCACTATTGATGTCCGCTTCTGAGAGCACCTTGGCTTCGACGAGCCAATCAAGCACATGGTCCAAAGCCTGAATCACGTTGTCCATTGCCGTGAGTTCGCGAGTCTCCCCAGCCGGAGTAGTGATGACAGTTTTGAAACTTGCTTTCTCTTTGTCATCGTACCCTTTGAAGAGACATTTCTTTTGCTGGACCTTGCCTGTCTTCTGACGCTTAGCATTCTTCTCACTGCTGCTGTTGTCACCGCCGGAACTCTTGGGCTCGACGCAACCAGCAGCATCTTTGTCCAGAGCCTCAACCTCAGCGTCTGTGCTGTCGACTGCCATAGGATCAGCAGCCCCCTCTCCATTTGCCTGCAGCGGCAGTGGACATTGGGATGGGGTGTTGCGTGAATCAATGTGACGTGCCTGATCCTTATCCACCCCCTAGTGTTTCTTCAGTCACATCAAATCAATCACTTTCTTCTGGTAACAAGTAACAATTGAACGCATCCAGCATTGCATCCAATATCAAAAATCAATAAATATTTAATTGTTAGTCGTTTTTGTTGAATCATTGAATCATTTGTCGTTTCCCTGCCTCCATCTCAGGTTTCTGCAACCTCTGATCCATCAAGAGTTTTTTCAGCTCTCCGGGTTTCAGCTGTATTCCCAAAGAACTAACCGAGCACAATTCCTTCTTGACTTGAAGGGTGACGTCCACTGGCTTTGGCTTGGGAGCAGAAGCACCTCCGCCACCAACACCACCTTTGCCAGTCGTTGATGTATCAGCACCCTTTGCCATTTTCCGCACAACAGCACTGCCAGCCATGGGTAAATTGATGAGGTTCATGATCTTGCTGTTCTCGGCCCCACCTTTGGAAAACACAAAGGTCAAGCTTCTCCCAGAAGCCTTTGCCGCCGCAGTCACGTTCGTCGTGGCAACCGGCACCTAGGAACTCAGGTGTTCGGTGCTCAGTTTTTGTATGTGCTAGTCATGAGTCAAACATGTTATAATGCTGAGTAAGTTGTCATCGTCAGACTGCAAAGTATTATATATGTGTAAACTGTAAACCAAAAGGTTTTCAGTATGAGCTAAGTCTGACAAGTGATAGTAAGGTGACAAAACTTTGTTTAAAACAGGACCCAGCCCTACGACTATATATGAGAATGCATGACAACTGTGACTGTGACTGTAATTGCAAAATACTCTTTACACAACTGACGACAGCGACTGCGTTTGAAGATTGAATGCTGAACTGAGCTGGAATGTAATGCAATGTCCCCCCACAGTTTGATGCGTTTCATGTTAGTTTATTGTTTCTCTTTGTGAAAGCAAGGAAGGTACAACACAGAAGGATGCTGCTGTTGTAATGCATTTGCATGTTTGTCATTTCCGGAGTTTTCCCGCACAACGTATATAGACGTAGACAGTATATGTCACAAATAACTAACTAAGCAGCCGACGCAAGCTTTCAAGGCTTCGAAGACTAGGCAGCCTAGCTTTTCCTTCGAGCAGATCTTCTTTTGGCCGTTGACCAACATCACTGCCAACGCGTGCATTTGAGCTACCACAGTCTGTGGTTGGTAGGAGCTGTCTAAGAAATCAATCGATTGCATGCCCCACGCTTCCACCCTCGGGTACATGTTCAGTGTCATCAAGTTGTGTGCCAAGCTGAGTGCCGCATAGTATGGCTGTTTTGCCCGGAAAAAACCAGAGTAATCACTTGTTTGGCTCTTCTGCAGAATGAACTCCTCGTACGCGGCTTGGTACCTAGGGTTGTAGCTGTTGAGCTTCGTAGTGACACACTCTGCTCGCCATGCGGCTTCTAGTCGCAACGCCTGCAAAAACATCAGACGTAACATCAGAGGACTTGAAGATATGTGAACGAGGACAAACAAATTATATAACTCAAACTCCATGCCTAGGCCATGCCTAGGACCTACTGCAGCAATAGCGATCCAATGAAGACTCATGGCTCATAATGAGCACTCTGCTAGTGCTTGTTGGTCGGTTTGTCTGTCGTTGGTTTCCGTCCAGTTGCCAGTTGCACCACCCAGCCTCTTGCATTACATCGTAGTGGTTTTCTCCTGATCCTTCATGGAACTGGTTCAAGAGGGTCACGATCTTCTGCTGTACAACATCAGGAGTTTGCCAATGCAATACCCGCACTTTCTTCAGGCCACGTGCCAAGCAATCTTTTACATTGGCATTGTCAGGCTGATCACTTGCCGCGCGGTAGAAGCTCTCAGCCCGATGATTGAACCCCAGGGCAAGGAGCGGGTACTTCTTCTCCGAAGTGCGCCATTTCATCAAGGCAGCTCCTGTTGAAGGTATTTGAGGCCACTTGAAACTCTCGACTCATGGTGAACTTACACTCTTACACGATACACAGTAGGTTTACGGGAAGTGAAGTGACTCTAGCACTTGCTGAATCCTGAACAATATTTGAAAAAATTATTGAACAACGGTCGCAATTGTCATCAAGTCGTTATCAAAAAAGAGACCAGGCAAAACCTTCTTGTGATGGTCCTGAAACAACTTGTGACAAACCTTCTTCGCAGATCCTTGACTGGTAGCGTGCGATGGTAGATTCTTGCAGTTCCCTCGAAAAGGGTGAGCGCAAAATGCTGCGTAGTCGAGCGCCGTCGGCGCTGCTGAACCATGGCAGGGTCTCAATCTCATCCTCCTGGTACCAGAGCAACATGCGTTCAAGCAAGGCTGCTCCTCCCAAGTTGCCAAAGAGGTCTTCCAACTTATGGGATGGGTCATACAAATCAAAGTCGAGCTTTGACCCAGGCTCAACCCCCAAGAGCTTTCCCGATTTAGCCTCAGAAGCCATTCAGAAAGATCACAATCTCTGAGTCGAGGTGATTGCTCGATCGACTCAAATGCGCAAAGAGTGCCGATTGGAGTACCACGTCAAGTTTAAATCAAATCAGCAGCAAGCAGGCTCACGAGCCAAAATATCAGAAACAAACAAACAAGTAAGTCACAACTCCAGCGTGCCAATTGTTTGATGACTATCTCTCTCTCTCTCTCTCTCTCTCTTTGCGTGTCACAAGTAACAACTACGTGCCTGCTCTGTGTGCCTTTGTTTAGCTGTATGTTTTGTCATCTGTGTTCTTTGTTGGTATCTACAAGTAGATCTAGAACTAGAATCTACAATATAGTATTAATATAGTATATATAATATACAATACGAATCGAAGCAACATATCAACAAGCTGGACAACTGGACCTTCAATCACGCGGTAAAATCTTGGCTGCCGAGCCCACAATAGACAATAGACCCCACTCCGCACTCCGAAGAGTCCTGGCCTGGCCTGAGCGAACATTTGTCATTAAATCACCGTGACACCGACATTACAATTTAACAAATGACTCAGCGACTCTGACTATTCCTTTCCGCCTGGACTATGTTGATTCGATGTTGCATCAGTCTTTCTGGCACCCGAAAAAATTAATTCACAAGTGTCACAAGAGTGAAGTGATGGCTGAATGACTGAATGACAATTTTCTGACACACTCAGGGGCAGTGCAGCATGACAAAAGGTCACTCAGTCTCAGTGACCAGTGACCGCCCGTGCCAAAGTGCAAATGAATTGGCCGCACTGGTAGCTGCACACGCTTCTGGAAGAATTGTTGACGCAAATCTGTTGCTTTGCCGCCTGTATAGTAATGTATAGTGATAGTTAGTTGCAACATGTTGCAATAAACCTGCAAAAGCAATCGCTGCACCCACAAACTTGTTTTGCTGAAAGCAACAATACTCAATACTCATCCTTCTATGTCTATGTCCAGGGTAGCTAGGATATTCATTGAGCAGCAACGCCAGTGCGAGTTTGAGGCAACCTGACTAGTTTGAGGCAGTCTGAGGAATCCTTGATTCACAATTCATTTGGGACCTCAAGACTGACTGATTCATCTGGTTGTTTTGACCGCAAACGCTTTTTTGGGGGTAGCGGATCTTCAAAGTTGGCCGCCTTCTTCTGAACCTTCACTGAAGATCTTGCTGACCCGATACCACGAAGCAGAGGAGGGACAGGTCGACGCTGCCACTCGAGAAGTCCATGTAACGAAATCACTGACATGACCATCACGTTCATGCTGTTCCCTGCTTGGGCCAACATACGCCGACTAGATCTCATGGGAGAAGGCATGTTGAAGGATGAAAGCAGAGGGAAATCCTTCGGGGAGATGCCCCAGAGATAGGGAACTACTGGAAATCCCTGCGTTGCCAGAGCTTCGCTGCCGCACATCCATCTAGCAGGAGTAACACGTTCTGTGTACAGCATGTGCACGTTGGAGATCAGTGTGCACAAGCACTGCTCACTACTGGATGATCCAAATCCAGCATCCGGATTTTGGTTCAGTTGCCAAGCTTGGCCAGGCTTGATGTTTTGGTATGAAGAGCGGAATCGTTCCTCTGCGAAGGTCAAGCTTCTTTCAAACGGGTTGTCAGAATCAAGAGTCAAAGCCGGTTGCTGGTAGGCTTGGCTTTGCGGGCGGCTCTGTGCCCACTCCAACTCCGCCTTCAGCTCGGCATCCAATGGCAGAGTGACATCGGCATCGTCCTGGTAGTGGTGAAGATAGTAGTACCTGGGCGCAAATGAAACACAGGCCGCTGCCGCTGCAAAAGTCTTGTCACATTGTAACTGAAAGTAACTGTAACTGGTAACTGCAACATTATGCAACGTTGCAACATTGAGTTGATGCTTCCATGACAAAAGTTTTACAAAGGTTATATATTAGAAGCCAGGACAAGACACTCAACCCAGCTGTATTTCACCGCCCGTTGAAACCGCAAGGCAAATCGGCTGATGGGGCTTACCTCTGATAGGATTTTCATGCGGTGTCTCATTCGCAGAAACATCCTTGGCCTGGCCGTAGGCATTCCAAGGCTGCTTGGGTCCAGCTTGATGGAATCTATGAAATACAGGTCTCCTAGGAGCTGGTTGGCCAAGGAAACCGGAAAATCGACCACGTTCTCCTGAGAGATGTCGCTCTCCTGAAGTGCACGCCTGAGTGCATACCAACAAAGGGTCGAGATCATGTCAATGTCACTGGTACCGAGTTGGGTGCCACGCTTGGAGAACGGTTTACATGACGTGCCAGCACAGTGGCGCTGGCACGTTCGCATTGGACACACCTTGCCATGGTAAAGGCAATTTCCTGAAGTGACAACTGCTCGGCCAGACAGGATCAACGGAGTCAAAGTTTGGACAGCCACACCGGGCTTCTTCATCAGCTGTGGAAGCACAGTCTCTTGCAGCTCTGGTCGATAGAACTGGTTGATGTCACCAAAAAGGCAGCTGCCCTCAACTGATGCTGCTAGCAAGCATTCTTGTTGACAGCTTTTGTCCCACTCCACCATGTGTCCTAACTTTCCGTTGTTGTTCTTGATCTCATAGCCAAGTCGTTGACCAAGTCGAAACCGCAGCACATTGGCGGCTGTCTCTGGAGATCTCACTCCACTGAACGCAGTGGACAAGGAATCCTCCTGCAAAGTGTTTGCAAGGGACCCCAGCACCTCCTCAGAAGCCTCATCGCTCAGTCCATGACATAAGACCTCAAAGCAATTGTCCCAGAAATCAAACGCTTCTTTCAAGCTTTCCACCTTGCACCCAGCAGGCTTGCATGCTTTGCTGGGCGGCTTGAGCTCTGCAAACTCTGCAGAAGGCTGAGGCTCTCCTCCTGCATTTGGGTCTTGCTGCTCATCAAACGAGCGCTGAACTAGAGTAGATTCCCCACTCATGGCAGCGTCTGTGGCTGTGGCAGAAGCTTCCTGCATCCTCTCAATCTTATCCACCTCGCCCTGGCCCTGGCCCTGGTCCGTGCTGAGAGTACCACCGTCACAGCCACTCAGGGAATGTTTCTCAGACTCATTCTTTTCCTCCTCCTCCTCTATGGTGGCCTGGGCGGCCTCGACCAACACACCCAGCTCTTGGCTGAGGGTGCGGCGCTGGGGCTGGGGCATACTGGATGATGAACTTGATTCCAAGGCTGTTGTTGCTCTTACTGGAGATTCAGCCGCCGTAGTCGTAGTAGTGTTTGTGCCACCCGTAGGGCCCGTGGAGTTTCGAGTGCCAGTCGAGATATCATTCACCTTCGCCTCATTGGCGCTGATGTTGTCACCGGTCTGGCTCTTGAGGCTGTCCTGCTTGTTTGGGATATCAGCATCAACCTCGCCTTGCTCCTTCAGGTAGTCAAGTATTGAAGGGAACCCATGTCTGTGAGAAACCTGTAGATCAACGTCCAAAACTGCTTGCACTTCTTTGAACAAACACTCCTTCTCCAAGACGCAATCATCATTTGGTGCCTCGCCATGGTCGGAGTTCAGGTTCTGGCTTTGAAGCTCATCTGTATGCACGGTTGCCTCTGCCTGAACGAAGGTTGATAAATAGCAATATAACAATTTGTTGGAAATGACTTGAGCTCGATGGAAACTAGACTGACTTCCATGATTCAAAAAGCCCGGATTGTCATTCGACTGGCAATTGTTCCACATGGGAAAACACGTCTAGAATGTATAATGTATACAAATTGCATTGCTTGACGTTACCAACCAAGGCTTGGGCAAATGGTTAGAGAAGTTAGCAATTCCGACGGGTACTCAAACACAACTTTCAGCCTTCCAGCTAGATATCATATAAATATCATACAAATATATGTATCTTATATACATACACACAGTATCTCACAATATCCCAAATCTGGCTTTGGCCTCCAAATGGTCGGCATGCTGTTGTTCACCAGCATTTGAGGGAGCCGAATCACCACCGGTTGAGTTCGAAGGTTTCAAATATCTGCGAATGAGCTGGTCGGAATCCAAGTGAGCAAGTGGATCACGGAAATCTCTTTCATCATGTAGATCTTCCAGGTTAAATAGGATCCATCCCTCCTCACAGATTCTGGTAAACACCACACAGTCAAATACAGTTCAATATTTTGGCCTGTACCTTGAGCTTGAAGTTCAACAAGTTCAACAAGAAACGCACTTGCAAAGGTTAAGGCTCCTGGTGGTTTGACTGAATCCATTTGGGAGGTAGCATTGGCAGCGACTCAGCCACTTTCCAACCAATGCAGTGGTCCTTGCTCCACTTCTTCACAAACACCTGATACTCCTTGTCAGAACATAAGTGTTCACTGTAGCGGCTGGCGACAGAATCATGGGTGATCTTCTCATTCCCTTGGAAAACCACGGAGCCCACCACCTTCATCACAGTGACCCCATGTTTGTTCCGTCCTTGTTGACAGGCAACAATGTGGAACCTCTCACCAATTGAAACGCATCTACAGTTGTAGGATCGTAGCTCCAAAGTCTTTGTGGTCCCTGTGTTCGGATGAAGCCTGAAGAAACTCTCCGCAAACTCAGGCCGCAAGATGAGTCCCCTCATTCGCGATTCGTTTGCTTTCTTCTCCTTTCCCGCCTTTCCCATGTTTCTGTGCACTACGGAAAAGCGAGAGTTGTTTTCGTGCTCAACAACTGAACGCCTGTTATCTGTTGAAACTTGTTGAAACACATGATGGATTGTGTTGACGCAAGTGATTGCATCACCTGCTTAACAAAGAGCCAAAAAGGCAAACAAATTCAAGCGTGCACTTTGCTTTCAATCCAACATATTCTCTTGCAATTGCAAAAAAAGTCTCTTTAGATGTCAGCTGCAACTAGGCTGAGTTATCTTGCAGATTGTGATGATAAATTTAGTCTTAGGTCTTGCATGTGGAAACACAATCCTTCTTGGATCCCTCGGCCCCCCTGGACCCCCCCTCCTCGGGACCTGACTCCCGAGCAGCCCCCCCTGGACCCCCCCTCCTCGGGACCTGACTCCCGAGCAGCCCCCCCTGGACCCCCCCTCCTCGGGACCTGACTCCCGAGCAGCCCCCCCTGGACCCCCCC